GGGATACACAGAATCACTATACCCAAAAGAAGTGTTTTTTAAAATTTTTATTTGTTGTCGAGTCGCTTGCTCATAGCGACCCTATGTACAAGAGGCCTAAACCCTGCTCTATCCTGTGCCAACCTCACTGTCTTCAACACACCTACTCCCATCACCCCCATCACTGAATCGATCCATCTCATCGAGGGTCTTCCTCTCTTGCACTGTTCCTCCACCCTCCCAAACATTATGTCCTTCTCTAAGGACTGGTCCCTCCTTGCAACATGCCCAAAGTATATGAGACAAAGCTTCAGAATCCTTGCCTCCAAAGAACAGCCCAGTTTCACCCTCTCCTGGAAGAACTTGTTTGTTCTCCTAGCAGTCCATGGTATATTCAACACTCTTCTCCAGCACCACAGCTCAAATGCATTAATTCTCTTTCTATCATCCCTAGTCACTGTCCAGCTCTCTGATGTATAGCATTGCGTAGTCTCCAGCATGACACCATTGCTCTTCAGTACTCTGGAGAAGGCCCTGACAGCTGACTTTCCCAATGCAATTCATCTCTTGATTTCCTGGCTGTTAATACCCAGAGTGCTGACTGTGGAGCCAAGCAAACGAAAGCTGTTAACAATTTTCATCACTTCACCATCCATCATGATGCTGCCAATTGGCCCAGTGGTGAGTTTCTCAATGTTGAGTTTCAGTCCATATTGAAGGTTGCAGTCCTTGATCTTCTGCAGCAAGTGCTTCAGGTCCTCCTCAGCTTCAGCAAGCAAAGTTGTGTGTCATCTGCATCACATAGGTTGTTTGTTGATGAGTCTTCCTCCAATCTTGATACCACACTCCTCCTTATAAAGCCCAGCTTCCCTAATGATCTGTTCTGCATGTAGATTGAAAAGGTATGGAGATAGGACACATCCCTGATGCATTCCTTTCCTGATTTTGAACCATGCAGTGTTTCCTTGTTCCATTCTGAGGACTGCTTCCTGGTTTTGCATAAGCACAGTCAAGTGTTCTGGTATTCCCATTTTCCTCAAGGTTAGCCACAATTTGTTGTGATCCACATTGTCAAATGCCTTTGCATAGTCAATGAAAAACAGTTAGACATTGCTTTCTGCCAAGATCCATCTGACATTGGCAATAATGTCTCTAGTGCCGCTGACCCTCTTCCAAACCCAGCTTGTATTTCTGGTATTGCTCTGTCAATGTTCCAGTCATTTCTGGATAATCTTCAGCAGGATTTTGCTAGCGTGTGATATTAGTGATATTGTTTGATAATTTCCACACTCTTTTGGGTCACCTTTTTTTAAAATGGAAATAAATATGGATCTCTTCCAGTCAGTTGGCCAGATCATTTTCCTCCAGATTTCTTGGCACAACCTGGTGAGCCCTTCCAGGGCACTATCTGTTTGTTGAAATATGTCAATTGGTATTCCATCAATTACTGGGGCTTTATTTTTTTTGCCAAGTCCTTCAGAGCAGCCTGAATTTCCTCCTTTATCACCTCTTGGTCATATGTTGTTTCATGAAATTCTTCTGTGTCAGCCAATTCTTTTTGCTACAGTGACTCTATACTCCTTCCATCTTCTTGTAATGCTTCCTGAACAATATTACATGGTTTAAAATCATGTGATGATTTTAAAGAAAGGTATGTGCCAGAATTGGACCCTTTCTCCACATCTACTCAATCTGTACACAGAGCAAATAATTTGAGAATCTGGACTATATGAATAAGAATATTGCATCAGGATTGGAGGGACTTATCAACAACCTGCTTTATCCAGATAACACACTCTGCTTGCTTAAAACAAGGAGGACTTGAGTGACTTAGCGCAGATCAAGGACTACAATCTTCAATATGGATCACATCTCAACATCAAGAAAACAAAAATTTGCACCACTGGGCCTATAGGCAACATCAGAATAGATGGAAAAAAATTGAAGTTGTCAAGGAGTTCATTTTACTTGGATCCTCCTCAATGAATACTCATGGTAACAACAGTTAAGAAATCAAAAGATGGGTTGCATTGGGGAAATGTGCTGTCGAGGACTTCTCCAAAGTGTTAAAGAGCAATGATGTTAGTTTAAAGATGAAAGCACTCCTGATTCAAGTCATGGTATTTTCAGTTGCTTCCTATGCATCTGAAAATTGGACAATGAAAAACAAAAATGAAAGAATCAATGTCTTTGAATTGGGGTATTTGTGAAGAGTACTGAATATCCCATGGATGGCCAAAAGAATAAACAAGTCTGTCCTGGAGGAAGTGCAATCAGGGTGCTCCTTAGAGGCAAGGATAATGATAATTTTATCAGGAGACCAATCTTTGGTAAAAGAGTTCATGCTGAGAAATGTGGACAGTCAGAGAAAAAGAGGAAGATCTTCAACAAGATAGATTGACAAAGTAGGGTGGAGAATGTTAGAGATTGTGAGGATGGCACAGGAGAGGGGAAGATTCAGATCTTGTTCATAGGGTCACTATGAGTCATAACTGACTTGACAGCACCTAACTATAACAGAGGAAGTCTGAGGGAATGGTGAGGGAAAATCTCAATGAGGGAAGTGAGATTTGAATAAGGACTTGAGGCAAGGGTATTTATTATGAGCCACATAGATGGTTCAGAGTGTAGAGAGAGCATTCCAGGAAGGAAGAACAGCCAGTACAAAATTTCATGGGTGGGATTATGTCTAGTGTATTTGAAGATCAGAAAGGAGGCCAGTGGCACTGAAATAGAATGAGAGAAGAAGAGTGGCAAGAAGTCAGAAAGGTAGGTAATAGGGCTTTGTGGACTAGGTCACGAGGACTTAAGCTATGATTCTGAATGAAGTGTGGGAAATGGGAAGGTTATAAGTAGACAGTAAAAAGTTTTACGCAACATTGTTCCATTATTTACTAAAAAATGTTTCTTAATATTAATAATGCTCTGGGTGATAGATGCAAAACATGAATAAGGGATATTCACATCCCCTAGTCTAGTGAAGATAGTCACATCCCCTAGTCTTTAAATATAAATTATTGAAGACTTTGATCAAGAAAAGCATATGAGAATGATACAGGGGGCCTTGTTTAAACATGGTAGTTTTCTCTGAGTAGGTGAGCAAAAGGATGAAAATGTGTTGACTAGGTAAGGTTATTAATGTGTGAGAGTATGAAACTCCAGACAAAGAAAGAAGCATGTACTAAGATCCTGAAATCAGATTGTGCCTGGCACACTTGAGGAACAGTGAGGTGACCAGCATGACTGGAGAAGAGTGATGTGGAGTGTGGGGTAGTGAGCCTATTATTCAAAATGGCTTTTCTAGGCCATTGCCCTTGACTGTGCCACATGGCTGGGCAGGAACATGCAAATAGGGTGTGTTGGTCTATTCATCACAGGAGGAGACTGGTCAATTTTGCCATTCTAGCAGGCTTAAATTGAACACATTCAGCAGCAAAGTTTGGGGAATCTCACTACCAACAAGAAAGAAGCAGCTGAGAATGTAGTATATGTCATTTGGGGCCAGAGATTCCTGCACCAAACAGATTAGAGCCTAGAAGCTATAGCAGAGAACAAGAGACCTGATGTGAGACAGAACTGACCACAGTGCTAGAGTCTTTGCCCAAGCTTGCTGGACTGGGTGGGGAGGCACTGTAATTGGTAGCACTTTGTAACACTTCCCTAAAGCAGCAAGGTCAAAGGTTGAAGGACCTGGCAGCTCCCTTCAGAAACCATATTGACTGAGAAATTGAATTCCACTGCCAACCTGAGTTGCAACCTGTTAACTTCCTTAATAAATTCCATAATCACAAGTATGGCTATGTGGAGTTGGCGTAGCGATTGCAATAGATTTTGGACTAAACAGGGCAATAGAATTGGCCTTAGAATTAGCAGAAGTAGGTGTAGGAGTGTGGGGGTGGGTGGGGGGGAAGAGTATGTCTGACCTCGTGAGAATTGTTTTTGTGTTGTGGATGCTGTCGATGGAGACAGTTCCCCCTTGTGAAGTTAGCAGTGGTCAGATATGGCCATCTCCATGCTGCCTTCATTCTTTTTACAGGGAGAGTGGTAGAAAGTGAGGTCAGCAAAAGTAAACACTGAGGATTTTGGCTTTTAATCTGAGAGAGACAGGAGCTATGGGCAGAGTTCTGAGCAGAGAAGGCTCATGGCCTGATTTAAGATTTACCAGAATTTCTCTGGGTGCTATGAGCAGAACAGAGGTGTGTGGGTGTGTAGAAATGGAATGTTTGTTCAGATCTAGGGGAGAAATGATAGTGAGAAACTAGAGAATTATGTTTTGGTTTTTTTTAGGATTATGTATTTTTAAGGTAGAGGCGACAATTTTTTAAAAAATTTTATCATTTGAAGCAAGATGCTTAATTAACTCCTCCTTGTCTTTTTCATTTTGGACAACCCAGTACCAGAAACTACCCTCATTCCCATGTTGGTCCGTGCTAGAAACATCATCTTTTCTTCCCTACCTCCTTACATACCAGTTGAGTCAACTCTGACTCAGTAATACCTTGTGTGCAGGATAGAACTGCCTTTATAGGATTTTCTAGGATGCTACTTTTCAGAGTAAGCTAGGTCTTTCTTCCAAGGTGCCTCTGGGTGGGCTTGAACCGCCTTTTGTTAGAGCTTCTAAGGCCCAGAAAGAAGCGTGGCAAGCCTTTCTGGTGTTCCCATCCTGCCCAACCCCCTTTTTTCTTTTAAATTCTTTATTACTTCCTTCATTTGCCTCTAAGGCTTGGGAGAAGAAGCAGATTACCTTTACGACTCAATCTTGTTAGCGTCACCACTGCTTAAGTCTTATAACTATCTTTCTGTGACTCCAGCTTCTTTCCCCGCCCCGTAAAGCTGACGTTCCTGTTCTCTATTCATTGGCTAGTTTTTCTGCTATTAACCGTAGCCCCGCCTCTTTTCGGTCCTTCAAGCTTTCCACCCTTAAGCTCCTAGTAAACTTTCTATGGGTATGCTTCCTCTTAGAACTTCACTGAGCCGCCCACCTCCTTACTTGTACCCCCTTGGCCGGCACTGCCCACCAGTCACTCACCAGGTTACATCTGATTGGAGAACGAGGTGGGCGCACCCTGAGGACCGTAGCCTTGGTGCCCATAGTCGGCCTGGGGCCCATAGCTGCCGCCGCCCCCAGCGGGTTGCCCATAATCTGGCTGGTAGCCACCTTGGGATCCGTATGAATCTTGGGGCCCGTACCCTCCAGAGCCCTGCCCGTAGCCTGTCTCTCCATAGGCATCCCCGGGCGCAGGCTGCTTCTCAGTAGCGCTGGGCGGCGCGCGCAGGAATGGGGCAGCCCAGCCGGTCTCCTTAAACACAAACCACAGGTTGCCGACCCAGAGCACCAGGTTCAAGAAGCCGAATACCTGTGGGGAGATGATACCCTAAGGTTGGCTTATACCCATTGCCTTAAGGCCCTGGTTAATGATGAAGGATGTGCTAGGTGAGGCAAGGATCTAGGAGTAGGCCTTTTTTTTTTTATTTTTTTATATTTTTTTTTTAGGAGTAGGTCTTGGAGAGTAGTGGTTTCTGGACCTTTCCGATTCTAACATGTGAATGTCAGTGTGCAGAAAAAGCATTGTATGTGTTTGTATGCGTATGTGTATATGTTGAGGCAGGGAATTAATTCTTCAGACTCCCGATGAAGTTGAGATCTAGCAGTATTTCACATATAAGTATTTACATATTTTGTGCATAAATTTATATACATTATTTGTATATGTTTTAACATGTATAATATAGTAAACAGAAGTTTGATGTAATAAAATAAAAACAAACATAAACATGTGTATCATTAAAGATGTGCATAAACATGTATAAATACACAGCTATAAATATATATACTTTAATATTAAACTATAAATAGCTTTGCTATAAGTAAATATATAACATATAAAACACTATATATCCTTTACTAAATGACAAGCCCTCTTCTAAGTACTTTTAAGCAATGTTATTTTTCTAAAACTTTTGGTGTCCATTTGTTCTGAGTCGACAGAGTCAAACTGCCCTGTAAGGTTTTTAAGGCTGTAATCTTCACCGGAGTAGACTTGCTCACTCTCTCTTGCAGAGCTGCTTGTGGCCTCAAGCAGCTGAAGCAAACTTTTGGTTAGAAACTAAGCTCTGCACCACCAGAGCTCCATTTACATATCAGATCATTTAGAACTTAATTTTAAGACAAAGCATAATATCCTCATTTTGCAATTAAGGAAAGAGGCCTAGAAAGAAAATGCCCAAGGTAATATAGCCACCAAGTGCTAGAAGAAAATATTGGAATCTTATAATCCTGGAATTATATATGTTTATATTCTATAGGCTCAGAATAGGTTCAGATCTGTTCATAGGGTCGCTTAGAGTCGTATTCAACTTGATGGCACCTAGCAGCAACAACAATATTATATAGTGAGCTCACGTAGAATAATCCATAGGGAGTTGTGCTGCTAACCCAAAGGTCAAACCTCTCTAGTGGCTCAAATCCACCTCAGAGAGAGAAAACAATCTCCTCTCATGCACTTTACAACCTCAGAAACCCTCTGGAGGGTCAGCTGTGAGTTAATTCTTACTCAACAGCAATTATACTTTAACTATATAACCAAAACCAATTGCCATCAAGTTGATTATGACTCATGGTGACACCATGTGTCTCAGAGTAGTACTGTATGTCATAGGGGTTTAGTATCTGATTTCTTGGACTCAAACCTCTAATCGTTTGGTTATCAGCACAGAACATTAACCATTTGCACCAGTGTATAGGGATACCATATATATTATATACATATATATTACACCTGTTACATATATAATGTACATAACAATACATGTTTATACATATAATAATTTTATCTAAAGGTATATAGATATTTTAAAAATATTAAAAAGCTATTATAAAAAATCTATAATATTTATATAACACTTATTATGACTTA